GTGATTTATTTGTCACTGCTTAAGAACAGTAAATGGTACCAAGTTCACTTGCCTTTCTAGACACAAGGACCTTTCTTCTGTACACATGGCAAAATTATGCACAAATGCTCAGCCCTTTCCCTCTCAGCTTTGCCTTCCCAGAACACATTCTAAGACAACATGTGGCTCCACACCACAGAGAGATAAAACAGATCTTTCATCACTGAAGGGGAGCAGCAGAGATGTGTATTTCTACAGTTTGGCTCAGATCCCTGGCTGAAGTCAACAAATGACTTAAATCACTTGAGGATCCAGCTACTTCAGTGAGATTACTGAGTGACTTCAGCGCACTAAAAATCTGTGCTATGCTCCAGGGCTGAGTGAGCCAGCTGGGCTCTGCAGCTTGCACAGGCTGCACCACCTCTATCGAGTTCTATCTGTCACCACCTCTTTCCCTGGTCTCTCCTGTCACTTCAGAGCCTGGCTCCTGAACTTCTCCTGCCACTCCTCTGGCTTCTGTTTGGTTGCACCGCTAGTACGCACTTTGAAGTCAGGGTGGGAGGAATATATTCACATTCTCCCCATTTCACAACATGGAAGCTAATTCTTTCTGAAGCAACATCCCCTCTTTGCTGACCCCTGGTACAGCTACTGCAGTCATGTTGGCCTAGCATCTTCTCTAAGGTATTGGCTTGCTTTCTCCCTGAGTCTCCATTCCCAGGTTAAATAAGTAGACAATCAGCCTTGCTCAAAGAAAGGCCAACATTTGGTGACTTCCCCGAATGACTGCAGAGCTGAGATAAAGACAGTTTCCTGCACCACTTAACAAGACGTCAGTCTCCTAGAATCAGCTTTGCAGAGGATTGCAGTGTGAAGCTTACTCTTTTTCAGCTAGGGAGGAGTAAGACTATCTGTCAGCATATGGAAATAGCTTCAATAATGACTAACACTTGAAAGGCTGAAAGAACTTGACCAGATCAGCTCAGTGCAGTAGTCCCTCCCTTCCCTAACAAACATCAATAACATTCTGACAGGGATTTCCCAAGCAGCCAAATGAAGGGGTAGGCAAGAGAAAAGCTCATACATCTTGGATCATTTAGTGACTTTTAAGTAGTCTATTTCCTTATAAGTAATCACCTCTGCCAATTTATCAAGCTTGAAAGCTACCTACCATGCATTGCCATTTAAAAAATACAGTATTTTGCAACAGAAAGAATAGAAATCAGTCAAAACCTGTAATAGGTCAAAACTGATAAAAACCACTTGAACTTATCAGCTGGAACAGGACCAGGAAAGTAATTATGCTATTGGGCAACTGTCACAGATGGACAAGTTTTCAGAAGTAATGTAGGATTAGCTTTTAGATGCCTGAATCAGAAAGTTAGAATGACAATTTGAAAACTGTTTTTAAGAACATGTGTATGAAAAGCCAAAGATGGATGTTAAGAGATGGAGCAATGCCAGATTTTTAATTATAATAAAGAAAACAAAAGACCACCACCCAGAAGTGAGAGCACATTCCACATTCCCTTGCAGTGTTGTACTGGAGGAAGTTGTTGAGAAAATAAAAAATTAATTTTTGTATGGAACTGATTTAGTATCAAATATGGAAAAAGAATTTATAGCTGCCTGTAGCTTTACAATGTTACGTAGCTACATTAATTTTGGCAGAAGAGGTAATTTTAATCCTTTGGGAAGTATTATCCTCTTGATATGAGCACATAACTCAGATTAATAGGATTTGCACATGTATAATAATAGAGAGAATAACCCTGGGTTTGGAAAACAACATGGTACTTTAATCAGTTTGGGAACACCAGACAAAAACCCATACCAGGCACAACTAATCGAACCACATTTGTCAACTCATGCTAGGTAATAATTGTGAGTTAATTGATCAATATTTAGAAACAAACATAATAAACTGGTATGTTTGGGAAAATCAAACAAAACAGAGCTGTTAATATGATCAAAAGACAAGGGGAGGTAGAAGCTGCACTGTTAATCACTTGCAAATTGTGTTTTTTAAAGACAGAGACCAAATACACCAAATACAGCTATAACCAAGCTGTATAATTGACTCTGTGTATGCAATCTCAGTTGTTCAACAATACAGATAACAGCAGTAATGGTATAATTATAACTTAGAGCTGAAGGAGATGAAAACCTGATAGTTCTTAACTAGTGGTTGCAATTAAGGGTGGAGAAGAGCAGTATTCACTGTATCTGTTTATGGTTCATTAATAAAAGTGGATTTGAAGTTCCAACACAGCAAAGCAGGAGCTGCATGCTGCAGCCAAACTTTGACCATGTCCTGACAGAAGACAATGACCGGGGAATGCAGCTTGACTCATAACAGCTGTAGAAAAAATAGCTCTGTAAGCAGTGGTTGAACAGCAAGAGCAGATACTGCATGCACTAAACGGCAAGCAAGCAAAAAGCACACAAGGAAGAGGCTCTTTCTTGCACCCCGAGCACCACTTTAGCTTCGACTGCATCCGTGGGTTGAAGAAACAGCTTTACTTCCTTCCTACCACCTTCCCCCTGCACAGGCAAAGAGATACACACATCCCTGTGCACACACGTGCGCTGCCAGCCCACGGATAGACAAGGAGAACAAGGCAAGGCGGGACACGCGTCCTCCACCCCCGGCGGAGCGGCTTCAGCACCGGGGGCGGAGGACAGCGCCCCGGGCTCCCGGGCAGGAGGTCGGGCCCCTCCGCCTGCAGGGCACTGGGGCATCAAGGGCGACCCGGTACCCTCTGTGGCACAGCGGCAGTGACACCATCAACGAGACCGCAAATGGAAAGCTGGTCCGCTTAGGAACAGGATGTTTTCGGCCCCCTTCCCCACACACAGAGCCAAAAAAATAAAGGCAAAAACACTGCACCTCATAAACAGTTTCAAAAGGAAAGCCTGAGCTGTACGGCATTATCAAGTATGAGCAAAAGTGGCCAAACACATTTTCTAGTGGCTTTTTCCTCAGACTAGAGAGTTCTCAAACCCAGGCAGCTTGGTTTGTGCTTTCTGAGCAAACAGAAGAGTAAACCCAGCAGCTCAGAAATGAAGTGGTTATCAGCAGCACGTTTCACTTGCTTTTTGGCTCACTCACTCAATACTGGTTGCTAAGCAATTTTATTTTTTTTACTACTCACTGCCAGATGGATTAATGAAAACACACACTTGCACTACTTACAACATTTTTCATTTATATTTCTTGATACACCAGTACTGTTTCTTTTAATTATTTCTTTTTTAAGGAATTCCATTCCCAGGTTTGCAAGTAAAGACTCAAACTACAGAGAGCCAGGGGGAGGGGAGGAACAGAAAGAAGCTAAGTGTAATTACCAAATTCTTTGGTGGATTGCAGGAATGAGGTACCTTGAGACTTGCACATCCTCTGGGCCTTGTGGCAAAAACATCATGTCTAGCTCAGCATAGAGATGTGAGGCACCAGGTGACCTGAAGGTGCCTTGCTCTTAACTGTTTTATCTATTTATAACTACATGTCATAACATTACCTGAGAGAACACAAGTCAGCACAGTGTTATTTCAGCAGTCAAACAACCATACACAGCCTTTTTTTATTTACACCTTACACACAGCGATGCTCTTTCTGTTTTCACTTCCAGTTCTTTATAGAGCTGAAACCTGGCACTTGGCACGGTCTTCCAGCCTGTGCCCTGGAATGCCATCCAACTTACCCATGGTCTGGTAATTTTTTTAAAGTCATGATCAGAGAGAAATAATGACACACCATACAATGTAGCCAACCATTCTGTCAGTGGTAAAACCAAACTGAACTGCACATCAGCCATTACCAAGGGTGTAACTGCAGCAGGGATAACAGGAGGGGGAGGGGAATCTGTTCCATCCCCAAATGGAGAAGAAAATGCATCTCTGCCATCTTCAACTTTCTGCCAGCTGAAAAGGGGGAGGAGGGATGGGAGAGACTGCAGCAGGGCAAACAGTAACTCCAAGGCAGCTCTTTTCCCTTTACAGCTGGCAGTGAGCTGACAGGCTCAGCATCAAAGAATGTTACACAGCTGGGTCATTTTGTGTGCCATTGCTGAGACATGGAGGATGCAGTACTGCTGGCTACACATCCTCTCTGACGCTGTCCCCCTTCCCAAAGAGAGGAAGTCTGGTTTGGTGCAGAGAACCAGCAGAAAGAACTTTCTTTTCTTTTGTCTTTGAGAGCAAGTCACCTCTGGTGTAGTTAGTTTGCTGTTGACAGAGCTCATAAGGAAAGGTCAAGAAAGGAGAGAAAACCACAGGCCTAGCAGGAAAGAAACAGGAGAGTTTTGTCATGTGCAGGATGAGCTGAAGGGGACAGCTTAAATCTCGAGGGTCATGAGGAAGAGGCGGCAAAGAGGAAGGCACAGTAGTGGAGAAAGGGGAAGGAAAGGTGAGGTAGAGAACTGAAGGAGGTTCATCCCAATAACAGGCAGGAGGAGATGAATACAGGGAGCTGGAGGTGTGTCGGTAGAAACCATCAGGCTGTACACCCATCGACAGTCCCAAAAGGCAGCACTGAGACAACTGGGGACCTCATGAAACTAAGTGGACAACACAGGTGCAAGTTTTCCTGCACTTCTGAGGCACAAACCCATCAGAGGAAGAAGGCAAAGAGCGAGCCTTGCAATACACCAAGGGCAGCGTCTCCAGAGGGGACGCCAGCACCTGGCGAGGAGGGAAAGCGCAGAAGCCTTGTGGGGATGCGCCACGACGCCGTGCAGGGCGAGAGGGCGGCGCTCTGGAAGAGGGGAAGCTTCGAGGGGCTGAACAGAGAAGGGCAGCCGGCGGCCGGCTCACCCAGGTGAGAGGCATGGGGCAGGGGGAGCCGGTCCGCGGGCCAGGCCCGGGGGAGGCCGGCGAGGTGCGAAGGCGCGGGCCCCTGGGCTGGGCCGGGCGGCGGCGCCGGGGGAGCCCGCGGGCGCTGGCGGGGCGGAGGGCGGGGGCGGCCCCTTCCCTCCCTGCCTCCCCCGCCGCCGGTCGCGCCGGGCCGGGCCGCCTCTCACCTGTGTCGAGGTTGAAGGAGATGCGGGCCTCGGCGAGGTAGGGGGTGTCGCTCTTGGAGCGGACGCGGCGGATGGGTCTGCGGTCGATGTCCTCCTCGGAAGATGCCGCCATTAATGTAGGCACGGTGAGCAGCGTGGCCCGGCGAGCTGGCGAGGGCGAGCGGCGGCGCGGGGCGGCCGGGCGAGGAGGGGGCGGAGGGGGAGAGAGGGGAAGGGAGGAGGGAGAGAGGCGCGGGAGGGGGAGGGGAGGACGGGGAAGGAGAGAGGGAAAGGGAGAAAGGAGCGCAGGGAGGGAGGGGGAGAGACAGGGAAAACCCGTCAAGGATCTGCGGACGGGAGCGGCCGCGGCGGCCCTGCCCGCTGCCCCTGCCGGGTCCCGCCCGCCTCCGCTGCGGGGGACGGAGCGGTGTCCCCGGCCCCGGGCAGGGTCCGGCCGAGCGCCTTTCCCGCCCCCGGGGGAGGTCCCGGCTGAGGTGCCAAACGCCGCCGATGGGCCTGGCCGGCAGAGGTGCCACCCCGCAGCAAGCTCGGCGCCCCGAACTGCTCCCTTCTAGCCCAGGGCGTCCAGGACTTACAGTAGAGCTGCCTCAGGACTTGGTGGGATGTCTAATGGTGCATCCCTTGCCCTCTTTCCTTGGGCAAACCCATTACGTAAAGCGGGATGGTGTGCCACACCTTGGCAGTTTAAAATGCCAAGGGGACTGAGGAGGCTGCACTCAACGTTTGAAACTGACCGTCACTCACAGCCCGGGGCTCCCCTTCCTCAGTTGCTTCGGCAGGACTTTGAGAAAAATGTGACCATCTGCAAAAACCAGAGACTCCGTTCTCCGGCTGCAAACCGGGCTCGGTGATTTGTGGCATCTCTGTTTCTCTGTGTAGTAATCAGCTCTTAATGCAGACGTTCTTATCCTGTGGTTTATAGGCTGCCTGCCACGTTAGGGCTCCAATTTTGGTTGGTTAGTGTAATATAAATAATTAAAAATGCTATTTTAAAAAAGTGGGTAGCACAAAGGTACTATGTAAAGTAAAAGTTAGACAGTTAAAATATGTGCCTAACAGTGTACTAGCTCATGCCATTTAATTCAGGGCTTTTTGTTTTAAAAAAAAACCAAAACCACTCTGCTTAAAGGCCCTAAATTGTCAGGACTTCCAAAATCTTTTGTTTTGATCAACTTCAATGAGAATTAAATACCAGGGAAGGAATGTTGGGGCTCACTAACTCTGAAGGCAGTGATAATAACAGTAGTTGAAGGATGGCTCTCTTACTCATTCCTGCAGAGTCAAGAGTTTTCTGTTACCAATTTGTTACCAAAAAACAGTTTTCTGTTTGCCAATTAGTCCTATTCAGGTTTTGGGTTGTGCTCGTGTTCTTCAATGGCTGTAACTTTGGTTTTAGCTCAAGTCTGCTGTTACCTGTAATCCCTTCATAAACGTTCTCAAGAACTTTCATGTTTCTGGATGCCTGGAATTGATAAGACATATTTTGTTTGCAAATCAGTTCTATTTTGGTGTGATCTCACTAGCTCACCCTGGCTAAAACAGGGAAAAAGTTTTAGTTAGCACTTGCAGGGGAATTTTGAAAACGATCCCTGTTCATACATATGCAGGTGCTTGTAGTTAGACAGCCTTGGCATCTTTGGATGTCTGGTAAACCACCACATCACTTGTGAACGAGGAGGTACCATCTGGTCCATCTGCATCTCAAAAAGAAGTCTTTAATTAACATCATATGCTGTTTAGGGAAGGTGTGGTCTTACCATTATCAAGGTTGAAGCAGATCCGAGCTTCTTCCAAGTAAGGGGTGTCACTCTTAGACCGGAGTCTTCTGATGGGTCTCCGGTCTATGTCATCCTCAGAAGTTGCTGTCACCAGAGTGGGCACAGTGAGAAGAGTTGCCCGGCGAGCTGGTAAGAAGAAATAAATTAAGATGAAAATAGGTGAAGAACAGAGAAAAAGAAAGGGGGAGAAAGAGGTAGAAAAAGAATAATAAGAAGACTAGAAAAGATAAGAGAAGGAAAATCATTCAATGGAAGAGATGATCTATAACAGGTAGTAGAACAGGCTGTTTGTTATAAGGTCCTTGCCTTATATTCTACATGCTGCAGAATTTAAGAGCTGCACTGAATGATACCAAGAAAAGATTGCTGTCTTGTGTGCAAGACACAGGGTATAGCTCTGTTGTTGCCACAGATTGCATGTTCTAAGTTCCTAGTTTTGCCACTAAAACAATTCTTTTCTCAACTTCTCAATAGCTGCAGTCTCTCTTTTCCTGAATGCTGTTTTTGGGGCTGTGATACCCAAATAGTGGAAATGTTGAAGTGGTCGATTAATTTGCAGATATCAGTGGAAGCTGTACTTGGAACACATAATGTGATCATTACTCTTGACAAGATGCAACTATTCCAAAATTCAGTTTCTTGTTGTCTTGCCTTGGACATTTAAAATTAACAGTTACTTTTTGCTCTTGATCACTTTATGTCTTAATTGTTGTGGAACAGGGAGAAACATAATTTTAATTCTGTAGGAATTTTGTGAACATATAAATGCATTAATATTGTAAAGTATTCATATACTTTAGTAAAGCACCAATGAAAAATCCACGAGGAAATTAAGATTTCTATCTTCTAAACAGGATTTAAATGGCTTAGGGCCATGCATTCAAGGAGGAGAAAGCAAAATATTTAATACTGGCTCATTAAGTGGGCACTACCCACTCCATGCACTGATGAAGCAAATGATAGGATAATAAAAAATTTCTGTCATCGTGCAATTAGAAGCCCTACTATAATCCATATGTATAAGGAGTCTGAATTAGTGTTGAAGAAGCAAGGTTCATTTGGGCATTGCCTAGGTATTTAGCTCTGGACCTTATAGCTTTGATAATGTCCCTTAAATGTAGGTGTTTTATATGTGAAATGGAATTATGAGTGGCTGTTGAATGCTTTGGGCATTAAGCCTATAAATTACAAATCACAAAGAGAAGAGCCTCTATAAATATATCCACCTAAACTCTCTCTCTGAGTAGATAAAAGATTATCACAAATGCTAGTTGGGATCTGGCTGATCATGAAAGCATGAGGACTATGCACAAGTACTTCCTCCTCCACCTCATATATAATTTGAAAGAGAGTTTCTGCTTGAAAGCCTGTCCTTACCTGTAATGTGGGCCTATTAACATTAACTACCATGTGGAACCCTGTAAGAGCCTAGGAGGCTGAACTCTAAATGCTTCTTGCTGTTGGGACATTATCTTGCATGAGAGTCTTTATCTCAGGGCTTTTGTAAAGCATCACACTTCAAATAACTAACAATGAACTATATTTTCCCCTTGCGACTGGAGAGCATGACTGAGAGTGACTAAGAGCTTATTCTGCAACTTACTAACTGTGATTCTTTCTTTTAAAAGTTCTTTAGAGTTTCAAATGAGACCTGTCAATCAGTAGCTTTCAGATGCCTAAAATCTGACTAAGGTGTTAGGTATGATAGCATATAATTAGTATAAGATAAAAAAGCTGTCATGCTCTATTTTTCAATTTGCAGTATTATGTAGTTAACTAAACAAGTAAATCTGTGCTGCTGGAGGTAGAGGTTATTTCTGGTCTAATTTACTTATTTTTTGTTTTTAAATAGATTTCTTTCAAGTTTTTGCTCATTTCTAACCTAGCATTTGAATTTGAAGTAAAAGCAAAGGGCAGGAGTTGAAATTGATTTAATGGGGTCAACTATTTCGATTAAGCTAAAGTAAACGCTGCAACTAGGCTGTAAACCCTTCCTCCCTTGTAATAGGGAAGTACAATAATGAAGATAAAAGAGAATGGAAAATTTCTGCTATGGAAAATTTTATGCATTGCATCTTCGAAATTTACACTTAAGGAAGATTTATCTATGTAGGAAGTCAGCGTTGTAAAAATCATCTCATAAAACAACCATGTAAAAGATTTGTCTTTTAAAACTGGCATTATTTAGCTGTAGTTAAAGTCAGTGAAAGGGCACCCATGCATTTCAGGGCTAGCTGGATCACAGCACAGAAGTATATCTGAAAGAAAATCCCAACACCAAACTACATATACATTTATACTAAACAGGGAATAAGAGTAGGCTTTTTAATATAATTGTTTATAAATCATTTTTACCTTTTGGGTCAAAATATTGGGATCTGGCTTGTATTCATTTTGACTGCAGGTAGGTGGATGCTAGAAAATGTTTCTTGGAGTAATCATTATGTATTACTTTGACAACCATCATTATCTACCCTTTGTGTATATTACCAAAAGGAGTTTTCAAGAATGACTGGAAATTTTAAGTAAACATTGAAAATATTTCAGAGTAGGCTAATAAGTATTAAAACATTTTGTAATAAAAACCTAAGATCAATTCTTACATGGCCCCAGAACGGGAAAGTATAGCTGATCACATTCTGGTATCTACAGAGTGACGCTGAATGTTTATACCTGCCATGAATGTAACTGTACACACTCTTTTCCTAATCCACAGCAATCTTTTTTTTTTCCAAGAATGACTCGCCATACATTTTTTAGTAAAGCTGTCAGTATATGCCCAGTGTGATTCTTGGGCCCATCGCAGATAACCCACCAGTATCTCTAGCTTCAGCTGCTCTCCACAAACCAGCTCAGTCTCTGGGACACACTCTTAGGAGATAGGTTTTCAGGAAAATTCAAGACCTCTTGAAGGTCTTGGAGCAATGGAATGACACTACAATACACATTAAGGGACCCGCTTACTCTGCAAATGGATTTGAGACTAGTGTTGAAAAGCTCAATTTAAGGAGCCACTGTAACAGCATGCGTAAGGGACCTCAGTCATTTTGTTAAATTCTTTCATTCTATTTTCATCATTCCTCATACACTCCAATTGGCATATTGTGGCAATTGTCTGGTATTTGTTAGGAAGGGAAAAAGTTTCTTAGGAAGAGAAAAATACCTTAAAACTATAAATGCTGTAACGTACATCATGCGACATGTTAGAACTGATTATATATAATCTCGCATTTATTTGTCTCAAAATATTGTATGTTACTGAAGTGCAACACAAGCATGTCTTTGGGAGAAGGGAAAATAAAATATGTAAAAATTTATATTACAAGTTCAGAGGCATTTTTAACATATAATTTCAATATATTTAGTTAGATCTACAGCTGGTCCCAATTTTTGAATACTGCTTAAAATTACTGAAAACATGAAGGGTGGTTTGCAAAGAATTTTTGATGCTTTCCATTTTTTCCATTAAAATACTTTTGCACATATTTTAATAAAAATGTTAATGGTAATTTTTATTTTCCAAGAACTACCTTTATGTTTTGAAGAGTTATAGTATTGATTTTTTTTTAAGACTTGTGTTATTTAGAAAAAAAATTAATTGGAAAAATTTCAGAGGTGAAATGGCATCTTCCTAAAAATTAATTGGAGGAAACATGGGATATTCATTTAGATTTTTCCATCCACTTTTACCAGTCAGCCTTTATTAAAACAGCTCATTGTTGACACAAGTACCCTGGTCATTTCTGACTCAATAGGGTCTCCACCTAGAAACCCTAATTTGCAGAGTAGATTTTGATCTCAAAGTGACAAATCTTTGAAATATGATTTTTATCTTAGTACAAGTGAAGTGATAAACGTTTCTTGTAGATGTCTAGATGTAGAAAAGGTGTGTTTCTGATGAACAGAGTCACAAGCAGCTTCACATAACACTGAAATAGCCACAAGGGGGATGCTTGTTTACATCAGAAATCTTTAAGTATTTTCTGAGGAAAATCTCATTTCTCAGGGCAAATTTTGAATAACTTTGTAAAATACCTATGAAAATATTTCAATTGCAGTCCTACTCTTGCTGATTGAATAGGATTCTTCTTCCTTGCTGCTTCTTTTCGCTAGACAAACATCTTACTTTGCTAGAGAAAGATCTTACTCAGTTCTCCTTCATGCTTCTGTGGAGAGGGCTCACCATGATGTAACATATCTGCATGTAGATAATGCATGCAGAAATGTATTTTTAGCTAAATGGAAGTTTTAAAAATATGAGTTCGGGTACATTTTGATTCATCTAGCATATGATACTCCTCTTGCGCTAAAGAAACCTTATTAGGCTGTGAATATTCTTCCTTAAAGACAAACCAGGCAGTGGGTTCAACTGAATGTTTACCAGGAAAAAAGATCTCTTGGTCTGGTTTAATTCCTCTTCACTTTATCAGTTGCATTTAAAAGAAGAAGGAAGGACAACATTTGAAGGATTAGATTTGGGAAATGGAGTATGAGTGGCAGGAGAGGCAGAGGGTGGAACATGTGGAGAGGACATAATTTGTCATTTATGAAGAAAGATTTATAGGCTTGTGTCTCCCACATAAAAACACAGAAGCACTTGCATATGGATTGCTCCGTGTCTCTAAAGCAAAGCTGTTGAAATCTGTCTTGATGGACATCAGTAATCTGATACAAAGTACATAGATACATCGTATTCAACCACAGGCCCAAGGGTCGAAAACAACAGTACCCATGAGAAAAGATATCCATATTTATGCACGCATTTGTTCTGCGGGTTTGTGGTATTTGGTAAAAGTATGCACAATACGCCTAACTAGCATTTTTTGTACATTTTAGGTAAAACTTGCTTGTTTCTCTGGGTCCAAAGGCATAGGCTGTTCTGAAATTCTCAATAATGTGGATATGCCAGAATAGGAGGTGGGGAAAGGGTTCAAAAAGTTTGAAAAGGATGATGAAAAGGTTAATGTTGATCAGTTTCTTGATGGTATTTGAAGGTAGGGATATTTTATTAAGAGTGCACATTTGATGTCACTAACTCTTCTTCTATTGATGTCAGTCTAAGAACTAGTTATATCATATTAATAAAAAAGACCTGGAAGCTATCATAACTTAGAAAATATGTTTAC